CAGTGAGGTTGGTTTATCGACCAGGGAGGTCAGAAACGAGTATCGAAAGAAAATTCCGGATGCAGCGCAGGCTAAGAAAAGCTTGAAGAGGTTCAAAATTCAAAGATGGAAAATTACCTATTTTTAAAGGAAATTCCACACGACGAAGCACTGTTAAGGACTCAACCGGTTTATTCGAGTTGCCATATTTGAAATTATGCGTTCGGTGTGTGTAATGAAATAGAGAGAATTTGAAGAGAAAAATACCAAGGGCACTTGATATTAATTTATGCTTAATTCAATGTGCCCGCATTCCTCCAGTTATTTCTTCAGCGGTATTTTCAAAACACCCGAATATGAATATGCTGGGTGTCGGATTTGTCACGTGACCAGCCAACGCCAGGGTCTTCTCTCCTCTGCGTGAGAAGGCCCTGGGAACGAGGTTGAGATTACAGTGTTATAGGTTGCTATCAATAGACGTCACTTCCGGTAATAGCTCTTTTTTGATGGCTTGTAGAATCCTGGAGGTTGTTTTGATCTCTCGTTTTCTGGTTTGATGTCGTGAAAATAGTCAAATACAATAGTTTGAAGACTTATTTTGATATGTTTTGACTTAGAATCCGCTTGGTTGCCCCCCAGTCAACTCCAAAAAGTCACGTGATTGATAGTAAGCAATTGGAGAAACCTCGGCAAAGACAGACACATTCTATCGGCACATTACGAAGTATATACGATATGTAGGAGACTAGGAACTACACCTTTTGCTGTTCATTAACCGCAAAGGAATATTCATTAAAGCGAAGAAGCATTGTCATTAGAGCGAACAGGCATACAATAAGGCGAACGGAGTCTCAATAGTGCGATGGAACGTTCATTAAGAAATTTAGCATTGAATTTGATGAATTTGATGAATTTGATGAATTTGTCAAATTCAATGCTAAATTTCTTAATGAACGTTCCATCGCACTATTGAAGCTCCGTTCGCCTTATTGTATGTCTGTTCGCTCTAATGACAATGCTTCTTCGCTTTAATGAATATTCCTTTGCGGTTAATGAACAGCAAAAGGTGTAGTTAATGGGTAACCTGTGTCTTATCAATATGCATTGGATTGTTTTCGATCAAAGCAAACTTTTCAAAATGGCGGCCTTCATGCCACGAGGAGACAATTTACATTCATTTTTTTGAAACATTAAGGAGAATATGGCTCATTTTTCTGCCCAAGATGTTTTAGATCAAGTGTGGAACGATTCCGTTGTAGAAGAAATTTCAGAAAGTGATGAAGAAAGTATTTTTGATCCAGAAAACGAGTGAAGAGGAAAGCGAGGACAGTATCGATGAAGACTTCGRAGAAAGCGAAATAAATAAATAAATACACTAAGTATTGCTTTTTTTAGAAAGTCATTTTTATTAGCTTTACAAAAATGTATAATTACCTACCTTTTAATAAAGAATTACATGTGAAAAGGCTGATTTTTWAARTACACCTATATTTTACACAAATTGGGCACAGGGCAGAGCACAGGTAGCCCAAGCTTGGTTTCTGTATTGTCCTGTTATAAGGAAATGTATGGAGATTCATCAAAAATTTCAATAAAATCATTGAAACTTCAAATAAAGCCTCGACATTTTACCCGATCATTGAGAAATAGCACTTCTTTCGCTCTGCGTGGTTATTTTTTTAATTYAGCCCRTTTTAAGATTTTTTCCCCCTCCAGTAAGAAATAAGAGAAGGTTGGAAACTCGAGGCCCAAAAGCGAACCATCACGAGTCTTTGAAACCTCGTACGTCTTCGAATTTCCTTTCCAGCGCCAAATTTTTGTCATAACCCTTCTCTCACATCCCTATAGAACCGAGAAAGTCGCATTAGAGATTAGTCTTCGCGTCTTTAAGCCATGAAATTTG